GATTCCCGTTCTTCTCAGTCAGCCACAGTTTGTTGTGATTCACACAGTCAAATGCCTTTGCATAGTCAATGAAACACAGATAAATATTCTTCTGATACTCTCTGCTTTCAGCCAAGGTTCATCTGACATTAGGTATAAGATCCCTAGTACCACCGACTCTTCTAAACCCTACATTTCTAAGCCTATATTTCAGGCAGTTCTCTGTTGATGTGCTGTTTCAGTCAGTTTTGGATAATTTTCAGCAGAATCTTGCTTGCATGAGATATCAATGATACTGTTCAATAATTTCTGCATTCTGTTTGGTCACCTTTCTTTGGAATGGCAACAAATATAGATCTCTTCCAGTCAGTTGGCCAGGTGGTTGTCCTCTAGATTTCTTGGCAAAATTTGGTGAGCATATCCAGGGAAGAGTCAATTTTTTGAAATATGTCAGTTTGTATACTGCCAATTCCTGAGGCCTTGTTTTTTTACCAATTCTTTCAGAGCAGCTTGAACTTTTTCCTTCATCACCACAGGCCTCTTGCTCATACATTGTTTCATGAAATTTTCTGTGCCCACCAATTCCTTTTGGTATAATGACTTTGTATACTCTTTCCATCTTCTTACGTGGCATTAAGATTGGAGGTAGAATCATCAACAATCTGTGTTATGCAGATGAAATAACCTTGCTTGCTGAAACTGAGTGCTTTCTATAGAAGGTCGAACACTGAAGCCTTCAATATGAATTGAAGCTCAAAATCAAGAAAACAGATTCTCAGCACTGGGCCGATTGGCAGCATCATGATAGATGGTGAAGAGATCAAGATTATGAACAGCTTTCATTTTCTTTGCTCCACAATCAACACTTTTGGTCCCAGCCGGGATAGGATATAAAAAGATGAATTGCACTGGGAATGTCTGCAGTCAGATATCTCTCCAAAATACTGAAGAGCAACGATGCCAGTTTGGAGACTGAGGTTCACCTGATCCAGGCCATGATCTTTGCAATTAATTGCTGTGTATCAGAAAGCTAGACTAGGAGTGATAGAAGGAGAATTGATGTCTTTGAGCTGTGGTGCTAGAGAAGAGTATTGAATATATCATGGACTGCTAGAGGAATAAACATGTTTGACCTAGAGAGGGTGAAGCCAGGCTACTCCTTGGAGGCAAGGGTTTTGAAGCGGCATCTGACATACTTTGGACATCTTGGAATGGGAGACCAATCCTTGGAGAGAGACATCATGCTTGGGAGGATGGAGAGACAGCACAAAAGAGGAAGACCCCAACGAGATGGATTGATTCAATGACTGGGATATTGCGGGTAGGTGTGTCAGAAGACAGTAAGAGATTGGTGCAGGATAGAGCAGGTTTTAGGACTGTTGTACAAAGGATTACTCAGAGTTTCAGACAACTTGATGGTACATAACAGCAACAACAACATGTTGCAAGATACTTTTATAAGTTAAATGCTTATAACAGATGACTTGCCCTATGATCTTATCACTATGACTTACTTTGATGTTGTCTATAATGTACTGGCTTGCTGACTATAAGGACAGTGAATCCACTAGGTGCTCCAAGGTAGAAAGATAAACAGTCTCATTCCATAATGATGTTTGTAGCCTTGGGAACCTGAAGAGGGTCACAATTAGAAGGCATTGACTCAGCAACAGTAAATTTGCTTTTATTTTATTCAGTTTGAGGAAAATGAGAAATATTAATGACTGAAAAAGTCAAGAGAACAAAACTTCTATTTACAGAGGGCCTCCTGAGTGCAGACTTGAACTAGATGGCTTACCTATTATCTGACTTGATACACTTAGTTTTTAATTCTTTAGTTTGGATGTAGGAGAAGTGGTATTTCTTAAAATTATCAACTCTCAAATTAACTAACGCTTTCTTTTCTATTCATTGGTGATGCTGCACAGGACTGTACTGATGGCTACATGTGTAAGACACATTTTCAGATCAGGAATGGGACTGTGGAGTCACATGCAGGCTCATCTGCCCATGCACCAGCATGCCTGCCTACTGAGGTGAGTATTTCAACAGGCCATTTTCTTCTTTTAATCTTTCTTCATAAGGTATACATTTTAAAAGTTAAATCTGTTTTAAAAATAACCTCCACTAGGCTCAGACACTAATGATGGGAGAGGAATATATGTCCTTTGTTCACTATAATGTAATACTGAAAGCAGTAATTGGGGTAAAATTAAAGTCCATTCAGAGTTTTTGAAGGTTGTAGTGAGTCTTCTCCCTTTTAGAATCCTTTGAATCAAAAGACTACTACTGATGCCTTCCATTTCCTCTTGATTGGTATCCTTTTAGGATACAAACCATGTGCTACAAAGTAGAACTGTCGTCTATAGAATTGTCATGTATTGACACAGTGACTGCCACAGTGAATGTAAGCACAGTGGAGATTGTGATGAGGAAGCAGGATTGGTCAAGGTTTGATCTGTTGTGCACGGGGTCATTATGAGTTGGAGGTCACTCTATGCCACATAACATTATAATGACGACAGCTTTTCAGCAGTACATTCCCATGTCTGTCTTCTATCTTGGCTTGGGGTGGATTTTACTAACCTTTTAGTTAGTAGCCTAACATATAACTTTTTGCAACTCAGGGTCTAATGAAGTAGTTTATTTACAAAAGTTGAATAAAAACTCAAACAAATTCTTTCAATTTCCCTCACCCCCCCATCAAATTGTTCAACCCGATGATTAATCCCCCTCGCCCCCTGCACATCCATATCCCTCTGCTTCCAGCCTCCCCACCCCTCTTTAATTCTTATACTCATTCTACAGTAATGGTTTTATATAATATTTATCCTTGTGGGCCTGAGTTAGTTTACTCAGCATAATGCTTTCTAGTGCCTTCAAAGTTAGGTAATAATTTACAAAATCATTACTCCTGTGTGCTGCATAGTATTCCATTGTGTGACTGTACCATGATTTCTCAACTCATTCATTTGTGGTTGGACATATGGGCTATTTCCATATTCTTGTGATGGTGAATAACGCTGCTGTGAACATTGGTGTACAAATCTGTTTGTGTCTCAGTTCTCATATTCTCAGGGTATATTCCAGGTAATGGAATAGCTGGGTCATATGGAATTTCTATGTTAAGCTTTGTGAGGAAGAGCCAAACTGTCTTCCAGAATGGTTTAATTTTAGAAGAGAATTTTTGGAAATTCCCTGATACCATCTTCAAGGGAAGTAGTTTGAATCCACGAGCTACTCTGCAAGAGAAAGATGGGTAATTGCAATCCTCCCATGCAATTTACAGACTCTGGAAACCTGCTGGAGGATCAGCTATAAGTCAGTTCTGGCTCAAATACACATAACAACAACATCTGCTTCAACTCACAAGAAGAATTCACCAGTTATTAGAATTTTAAGCATCTTAGTAAAACGAAAGAAGAAAGTATTTTTGAGAAAAAGAACCTTTTTTTTCAGGCTCATTTGGCCACTGGACACTAATCCCCTCCCTGTATGTGTGATGTTGACCTGGAGGTAACACTTTTCCAACATGATGTGGTTTACAAGTTATTCTTGAGATTATTGTGCTTGCTCATAGGCAAGTGCTGCTGGTAGGAGGGTACCTGAATCTTGATTACTGTTCCATGGCTTGGGCAACCAACACCAAATCTGAAGCCAAGCATATTAGGAAGCTTTTCAATTTATAACCCAGAAATGATCATTTAAAAGATTAATTATCCCTTTTTTGTCTCGCAAGTTGTCAAAGATTTAAAAATCACTCAAAAGTAGGTTCAGAATATGGGGGGGAGAGATGCATTTAGGTTGATGTTTCAGTTTCACAGAGTTATTTCCTATGCATGAGTGATCCATTTCAGTTCAAGAACTTATTCTCAAAAAGTAGAAAATTTTTAAAGATTTGATTTTGAAATATTTCAAACAACCAGAAAGTTGATACAATTTCACATTAAAAACCTTATACTAATCTACTATTAACATTTTGCTATGCTTGCTTTATTATTAATCTCTGTCTCCATCTAGAAGCTCTGATGGCACAGTGGTTAATGAATTTGGCTTCTATCTGAAGGGTCTGCCCCACCAGCTTCTCCTGGACAGATGTTAGCTTCTGTAAGACTTGTAGTCTTAGGAGCTCTACAGGCACTTCAGTTTTGTCCTACAGGGATTTTTTTTCTTTTTTTTTTCTCTATAATTATATTTTATTAATTTTCATAAACATTTACAGAGATTTTGGGCTTCCACTCATTCATTGTTGCACTATTCTCTCTACCCTCCT